ACTCTCACCACTCTTATTCAACATAGTTTTGGAAGTCCTAGCCATGGCAATCAGAGAAGAAAAAGAAATTAAAGGAATACAAATTTAAAAGAAGAAATAAAACTGTCACTGTTTGCAGGTGACATGATACTATACATAGAGAATCCTAAAGATGCCACTAGAAAACTACTAGAGATAATCAATGAATTTGGTAAAGTTGCAGGATATGGAATTAATGCACAGAAATCTCTGGCATTCCTATACACTAATGATGAAAAATCTGAAACAGAAATTAAGGAAACAGTCTCATTTACCATTGCAACAAAAAGAATAAAATACCTAGGAATAAACCTACCTAAGGAGACAAAAGACCTGTATGCAGAAAATTATAAGACACTGATGAAAGAAATTAAAGATGATACAAATAGATGGAGAGATATACCATGTTCTTGGATTGGAAGAATCAACATTGTGAAAATGACTCTACTACCCAAAGCAATCTACAGATTCAATGCAATCCCTATCAAACTACCACTGGCATTTTTCACAAAACTAGAACAAAAAATGTCACAATTTGTATGGAAACACAAAAGACCCCGAGTGGCCAAAGCAATCTTGAGAATGAAAAATGGAGCTGGAGGAATCAGGCTCCCTGACTTCAGACTATAGTACAAAGCTACAGTAATCAAGACAATATGGTACTGGCACAAAATCAGAAATATAGATCAATGGAACAAGATAGAAAGTCCAGAGATAAACCCACGCACCTGTGGTCAACTAATCTATGACAAAGGAGGCAAGAATATACAATGGAGAAAAGGCAGCCTCTTCAATAAGTGGTGCTGGGAAAACTGGACAGCTACATATAAAGGAATGAAATTAGAACACTCCCTAACACCATACACAAAAATAAACTCAAAATAGATTAGAGGCCTAAACGTAAGACTGGACACTATAAAAATCTTAGAGGAAAACATAGGAAGAACACTTTTTGACATAAATGACAGCAAGATCTTTTTTGATCCACCTCCTATAGTAATGGAAGTAAAAACAAAAATAAACAAATGGGACCTAATGAAACTTAAAAGCTTTTGCACAGCAAAGGAAACCATAAACAAGACCAAAAGACAACCCTCAGAATGGGAGAAAATATTTGCAAATGAAGGAACTGACAAAGGATTAATCTCCAAAATTTACAAGCAGCTCATGCAGCTCAATATCAAAAAAACAAACAACACAATCCAAAAATGGGCAGAAGACCTAAATAGACATTTCTCCAAAGAAGACATACAGGTGGCCAAGAAGCACATGAAAAGCTGCTCAACATCACTAATTATCAGAGAAATGCAAATCAAAACTACAATGAGGTATCACCTCACACCCGTCAGAATGGGCATCATCAGAAAATCCACAAACAACAAATGCTTGAGAAGGTGTGGAGAAAAGGGAACCCTCTTGCACTGTTGGTGGGAATCTAAATTGATACAGCCACTATGGAAAACCATATGGAGTGTCCATAAAAAACTAAAAATAGAACTACCATAAGACCCAGAAATCCCACTATTGGGCATATACCCATAGAAAATCATAATTCAAAAAGACACACACACCCCAATGTTCATTGCAGCACTATTTACAATATCCACCTCATGGAAGCAACCTAAATGCCCATTGACAGACGAATGGATAAAGAAGATGTGGTATATATATACAATGGAATATTACTCAGCCATAAAAATGAATGAAATTGGGTCATTTGTAGAGATGTGGATGGATCTAGAGACTGTCATACAGAGTGAAGTAAGTCAGAAAGAGAAAAACAAATATCGTATATTAATGCATATATGTGGAACCTAGAAAAATGGTACAGATGAACCAGTTTGCAGGGCAGAAACTGAGATACACATGTAGAGAACAAACATATGGACACCAAGGGGGGGAAGTGGAAGGGGGTGGGGGTGGGGGTGTGATGAATTGGGCAATTGGGATTGACATGCATACACTGATGTGTATAAAATGGATGACTAATAAGAACCTGCTGTATAAAAAAATAAATAAAAGAAAAAAAATTTTTTTTAATAATGGAAAAAAAAACAAAGACATGCACCACTGTTCATTGCAGCACCATATACAATAGCCAGGACTTGGAAGCAACCTAAATGTCCATGGACAGATGAATGGATAAAGAAAATGAGACACATATATATAATGGAATCTTAGCCATAAAAGGAAATGAAATTAAGTTATTAGTAGTGAGGTGGATGGACCCAAAATCTGTCATACAGAGTGAAGTAAATCAGAAAGAAAAAAAAAATACCGTATGGTAACACATATATATGGAATCTAAGAAAAAAAAAAAAAGGTACTGATGAACCTAGTTTCAGGGCAGGAATACAGATGTAGACATAGAGAATGGACTTGAGGACATGGGGTGCGAGGGGAAGCTGGGGCGAAGTGAGAGTAGTATCGGCATATATACACTACCAAACGTAAAATAGCTAGTGGGAAGCAGCAGCATAGCACGGGGAGATCAGCTGGGTGCTCTGTTATGACCTACAGCGGGGGCCGGGGGGGGATAGGGAGGGTGGGAGGGAGGCTCAAGAGGAGGGGATATGGGGACATGTGTATGCATATGGCTGATTCACTTTGGTGTACAACAGAAAGTAGCACAGTATTGTGAAGCAATTGAACTCCAATAAAGATTAAAAAAAATAAAGATGACGAATACGTTTCTGGGTTGAGCTGCTGACAAAAGATGATGCTATTTATTGAAAACAAATGGGGGTAGGGAGAACAGGTTTGTGGGGTGTGGAATCACAAGGTCTGTTTGGGACTTCCTAAGTTCAAGAAGCTTTGTGAGTCATCCAACTGGTAAAGTCGAGTGGGATGTTGAAAATCTGAGGCTGGAACCATCTCCACTAAATGAGCAGCAGTGAGCATGGGGTTGACCAGAGTCAGCATCAACTGTGCACAGGCGTAAGCAGCCACCCTGAACTGTGGTGTGGTGGAATAGGAAAAGCCGAGCAGGAAAGCAAGGAAACAGAGGCTCTTTTTCTCCCCTTCCAGTATTTACATGTTGGAGTCATTCCAACTTTTCTACCACTCACAATGGTGCAATCGTATATAATGTACACTCTAATACTGGGGTCGAATTCCAGCTGTAACCCTCTTATTAGATGTGTAACTTCAGTAAAGGTATTTAAGTTCTCAATGTCTCAATTTCCTCATCTATAAAAGAGGGCTATCACAATCATTTCACCAGGTTGTTTTGAAAAAAAAATTAATATGTTTGTACACACACACATCACTTAATGTTGTACCTGGCATATTAGTGCTATTTACATATTTGCTACTATTATTTTTATAAGGATTAGTCTACAATAACATTTCTCAAACTTTGTCTATTGACAGGTTCTTTGTTTAAAATAGTATCATGCAGAAACCCAATACGTAAAAGAAGTAAAGACCAAATGGCTGTGGCTGGAAGGTAGCACCTGGAGCCCCCGAGCCCCCATTCCAGCTTAGCACTTTTCCTTGCCTTTCTCACCACTGAGGAAGATCTGTGAAACTTCTAAACCACCACCAAACTAGGTAATCTTTCAAAAATTAGAGAAAAATAAAGATTTTTCAGACTTACAAGCAATAAAGGCTCCACCATCCACAAATCCTCACTAAAGGAACTCTGTGCTTTGGCAATAAGAAAAGTGAAGCTGGAAGGTCAGTCCATCTTTCTGGAGTGATGCGTCTTCTCCACTTAGTTTGTTTCACACTGTATGGAGGGTCCTCCATGTGCATCACAATCCTGGCCTTCCTCCCCCGACCCCATCCTGGCCTCACTCAGTCCTCCTCCAAGGAAGAGTGAGTTAACATGATTGGAAAAATTGAGAAGAGAGACTGGATGTAAGTAGGCCAGCCCCTTCTTCTCCCCTTCTGCTTGGGACCTAGGCTGCCTGCAGGGTAGTACCTTGTGGGGCAGATAGGGGCCATGTGTGGCGAGGCCTGCCCTCATCCAGCACTGCCTATGCCTTAGTTAGTATGACCATCTACTGGGATGGTAGTTCTAGGAACTGGTATTTGGAAGCTCACTTGTCCACCAACGGGAATGTTTCTAATATCCTACTGGTAACAAAGGTCATATTTTGGTCCCCATATGCCTTACACTTTTGTCTGATTTCTCAATTGGTTCTGAAAACTTGGGCGAGGAAGAAGTGCTATTTAAAGACCTCCTTGCCCTCCAACAATGTGGGACAAAAGAAACAACAGTGAACTCAGGAAGGGATCAAATACATTGGCAAATTCCTGAGATAGGGAAGGACCAGATCACAAAAACAAAATTTGTTTATCCTACAGAGGAAGCTGGATTTTATGCGACCAGGAGGCAAAGGCCATTAGAACACTTTCAATCAAAGGTGACGTGACCAGCTTAGTATTTTGATTATTTCCTTAGATGGGGTCAGTGTAGAAGAAAGAGAGCACTTTCAAACGGGATCAGGTTAGAAAGAGAAGGTGGCATTTTCTGAAGGCCAAATTCACCTGCTTTAGAACTTTGTCTAAGGCTGTCACAAATGATGATGTCATGTTTTTCCAAACTACTGACTAATTTTGAATAGCTGGTCAGCTGGCTCAGTAAGATTGCATTAAACCAAACAATCAGATAAGCAAAATTACAACTGCGTTTGGGATTTTTATCACAATGTTTCGAAATATGCTTTACAACTTTTCATTCAAGAAAAAGAATGAAGTAATGTTGTTTCTCTTCTGACCTCCAAAGTTTACATTTTCCTAGAATATCCATGATATGTTATTATTGAGAATTTTAAAAGGCAAAATATTGATAGTCACAAAGTGATGGCTTGAAAACTTGTGACTGTAAAATAGACCATTTGTCATTCACAAAATCAGCACAATATTAAATGTTGATACAAAACAGAAGTATACTACATTGCTGCAGTAGTATTTTTTTTCTCTCTGAAGATAATTTTTTAGCAATGTCAAAGTAGGTCAGGTAAGCTTAATGATACCTTTAAGCCATAAGCTGGCCCTTGGTCCCTTACTTTTCTGAGTCTTCTATTCTTGTGCCATTCCTCTGAGCAAGATACTTCCACCAGACCAAGGCAACTGCTTTCGACCCTGAGATAAAGATTTGGGTCTCTGCCACAAACATGTTCTATGTTCCATGGCTGGGGTTGTCCAGCACTGTACCAAGCATTGGGTGTCCTGGGATAAGCAAGACATGATATAATCCACGTTTCCAAAGAACTTTTGGTCTCCTGGAAAAACAGGAGTAATAACAAAATTACAACACAGCAAAATTTGTAAATGACTACAAATTTTCTTAAGAATTAACAAAAACAGCATAATAATAACACCCCCCATGCTCACTTCCTAATGGTCCCTCCCTCCATCAGGAAATCCGCTGACACTGTCCTCTACCGATGAGGAAGGAATTTTGGGGGGAAAACACAAAAAACAAGATAAGAATAGTCACCTATGTAGGCTTACCAGACAAATCAACTGGCACAAAAAATGTCATCATCAGATTGCCCTACCTCCAAGTGGGGTCACTTGGGGACTTAAGTTCTTCTCCTGTTTTGTTGTTATTGCTTGTTCTTTGTCTTTTCCCCCCACACACAGCTGCTAAGTGCTCCCTTTCTTTATTGCCTACATTCATCCCCCACAACAGGGTCCTCTTTTCCAAAGTGCAGGCCTAGCTATTTCTGCCTCCCCGCTGAACCCTGGGGAACATAATATATTAATAAAGGAACTCTTTCAGTAACAGAAATCCTACCCAAAGTAGTTGAAAGAAAGACTTGTCTAGCTTTCTAACTGGGAAGTTCAAGCAATAAACTTCAGGCATGGCTAGATCCTGGTGCTCAAATGATGTCTTCAAGGATTTGACTTTCTCACTCTATCTCTGTTTTGCTCTGGGTTGATTCTCCCCCTCAAAGTGGCAAAGATGGCCACCAGAAGCCCTAGGATTGCATCATTTTTATAGCTAATAATCCTGTCTCCTTCTTCCACTTCCTCCTCCCCCTCCCCCCATTCTCTCTTTCCATAAAGCTACCCCAAAACTTCCAGGGACTGTTCACCAGAGAGATGTTATGACGAAACAAATGTATATTCACTTTACACAGAACTCCTTTAATATTTTCTAAAGATTCTTTACTAACTGGGAACAAAACATGACCAAATTGTAGTGGTAAGAAACTATGTAGCTTAATACTTTTCATGGACTTCTTTCTGGAATTTATGGAAAAATAAATGGAATTAAACAGGCTATTTCTTAGCTCCTTGCACCGACCCATTTCTCATTGTACTGTTTAGAAACATCTCCACCCAACTCCTTTATTTGGGTTTTTGGTTCTATTTACAATGATGCTCATGGGCTTTCCCAACTTCTTGGTTGGCATCCCTTCCTTCTAATTCATAGAGCCAACATCAGAATGAAATTTTGTAGCTGCTAGTTATCAACAATAGATTTAAAGAGAGCCAAGTAAGATTTATCTTCTCAGAGAAACACGCTACTCTATCTAGATGTAACATCTTCTGACTTCACATAGGAAAGCTGACTTATTTAATTCCGTGATGCTTGACCTGTTCTTTACGCCAAAATTCTTTTAACGTTTTTTAATTAATACTTTTACTAAAGTATAGTTAATTTACAATATTGTGTCAGTTTCAAGTCTACAGCAAAGTGATTCAGTAAGACATATATATTTTTTTAAGATTCTTTTCTATTCTACTATAGGTTATTACAAGATATTGAGTATAGTCCCCTGTGCTATACAGTAGGTCCTTGTTGTTTACCTATTTTATATATAGCAGTATGTACGTTACTCCCAGACTCATAATTTATCTCCCCCCACCCCTCTCCCTCTATCCCCTTTGGTAACCGTAAGTTTGTTTTCTATGTCTGTGAGTATTTCTCTGTCTTGTAAATAAGATCATTTGTATCATTTTTTTAGATTCCACATATAAGTGATATTACATATTTGTCTTTCTCTGCCTGGCTGACTTCACTTAGTATGATAATCTCTAGGTCCATCCAATGCCAACATTCTTTAACAGTGGTTGCCAAACACAGAGCTGGAAGGCTGTCTCCTTATACTGGAACACAGCAAGCTGGTGCCAAGCTGTGAGAAACACTCAAGCGGGAGAACAGAGTCCAAGAACTCAAAGAAAATGCACATTGCACACGTTCCCCTCCACTGAGCTGGCCCCTTAACCCTGACATTCCCTCAGGCTATAGAAAAGTGGATATAATGTAAAATACTCGGCCCACCACCTGTAAATGTGAGGAAAACAAATCTTCCTCACATGGTAGGAAGAAGGCATCAACACTGTACCACTGGAGTATTACCTGAGCATGATCAAGATGAAAATAATAGCATGGTAAGAACAAATATTCAACATGAAGTAAAAGAGCCCCACTTGATAAATTATAGCTTAAAACGAGAAGGAAATATCTCACAATTGTTTCAGGCTACAGACAGATTTCATAAGAATAAAAATTCATTTTTTTTTAGTGGCTCAAAAACAAATCAATAAAGCAACAGTATGAGATGAAAAGGAAACCTGCCAATCTGAGAAAAATAATTGAGGGTGGATAACATTGTTCTATGGCTATGAAATTCTTTGGCTCTTCTCTCTTTCTTTAAATAAAATAGAGCTGATGAACTCTGGAAATGAAATGGACTCACTGTTTGAAGAGATTCCCTAAGATACCATCTGTTTTCTGCTTTGAAGATTATACCTTCCCTCAAATTTGGAAGGATCAAGGCTTCATGATGATACAGGTGGAAACTTGGCAAATGCGCACATGTGCATATGCACACATACACGTGTGTGTGTGTGTGTGTGTGCATGCACTTGCAGACACACACATGCTCCAGTGGGAAGGAGTAAATATTTGAGACTTGTTGAAGAGTTAAAAGCTTTGTGATCCTTTAAGAAAGTAACATAAATTGGCAAGTACGTGCTGGTCATTGTCATTGGTCAACTCCCCACCCACCACTGTCAGTACCACCATTCTCTGCCCCTCTCTGCCTTGCTCTGGTTCAGGGGAAGCTGACCCCTGAAACTTGTTCCCATGCCCCCAGGCTTCCAGGTGGGCAGGAAAGTCAGAGGGTGGGAGAAGGGAGAATCCTAGGTATTTCTTCCCTCTCTCCCCTGTTCCCATGCATGATCCTCCACAACTCTAGCTTACATGGGAGGGATCCCCTCTTCCACATGTTCACTGTCAGTGGACTCCAGGAACACTCTTTCCTTCCCTTGTGCAGTAGTCCTAGGGATGGGAGCATCTTTAAGCAGTTGTTAGTCTCGGGGATCTTACTATTCCTTGACTTTTTTCTCTTAACCTCATCCGCATCCCAACAGTAATCCTTTTCTTAATATCTCTAAATTTTAAGCATGGAGGATGAATTCTGTTTCCTGCCATGATCCCGAGTTGTGAAAACAGAAACCGATTTTGGCCAAATTGAGAAAAAATAAACAAATTAGAAAAAGCAAAGGAAAGAAAAAAGTCTGCTGAATATGGAATTTTTCTCACAGAGAAAAGGCTAGAAATAATAAATGCAAACAGAAGGTGAAGGAGAAAGAGGAGAAGGAGAAAGAAAGAAAGGTCTAAGAGATTAGAGAGAAGCTAATAGATAATAAAGATAGATAAAAACTATCTACCATAAAAATATTGGGTTGTAAGGAACTAAACAAATAAAGCAGAAATGAAAAAACAAATTTAAAAATATAGAACAAGAAAAGTTTCCCAGAAATGAAGAAAATAAATGCTGCAGACTAAAGGAATATGCTGTGCTTGAAGTAAACTTGATGCAAAGCAGTCAACACCAATTTATATTCTAAGTATACTATTCTTTATATGCTAGTTAGGCTATTATCAAGGATAAAGAAAAACTATTCAAGCATAACACAGAAAAAAACAATCACTATCACAAGGGAAGAAATCATGCTGCCCTCATACTCCTTTACAACAGAGATTGGTTCTACAAAGTTCTCAGGGAAGGAGAATCATTGTTATAGTACATTATGTATTTCTGTATGTTAAAAAAGAATTAAGAAAACCTGGAAGATGGATACCATGAGATGAGAGAAGATATGTGATATGTGCTAATGTCTTCATCATACATACCAGGTAATCACGCTATTTTATTTGTTATGGTGATCTGTGACCAACTGAGGCCATGTGTCTGGGGTCTTGGTTCTGATCCTCCTCTGGGCACCTCCATTCTCCTCCACATGGTCTGTTTGGGTAGTCTCAGGGTTCCAAGAGGAAGCACTGCCAAGAAGACGAGCCCCCAAAGGACAAGCACTTGTTATTAAGCCTCTGCTTATGTCACGCTTGCTAATATCCCATTGGCCAAAGCAAGCACATGGTCAAGCCAGGCTCTGTTTGGAAATGTATACACAGGGAATTTGAATCTCAACTACCATTTTTGGCAAGTAATTTAACTTCTCCATGTCTCAGTTTCCTCCTCTGTAAAATAAAGATAACATCTGGTTCACATTATTTGGGGGATTAAATGAGACAATAAAAATATAGCTAACAAAGAACCTAAGAAATAGTAGGTGGTTGACAGATATTAATTCCCACTTGTTATACACCTGCAAAAGGTGTCTCTTGTTAAAAAGAAAATTGGTTGCTTATACCTCATCAAATTGGCTTTTGAATAAGCCTCACATTTTCATACAGTTGTGATTAGCATTGTTTTAAATCTGCTTTTCAATGGTTTTATTTATCTTGGGTCCATTATGCAAATCATGTAATTCCTTCCATACAGTGATCTCATTATTTTCTATTTCTTTTGTTTGTCATTTTATCTTTTATTTTTACAGGCTTCTAATTTAAAGAATATTTCCCTTGAACTACCTGAAGGGCATCTCATTTTTTTCCAACTTTATTGAGATATAATGATATATAGGCGCACCTCATTTTATTGTGCTTCACTTTGTTTTGATTCACAGATACGGAGTTTTTTACAAATTGAAGGTTTGTGAGAACTCTGTGTTTAGCAAGCCTATTGGCATGATTATTCCAACAGCATTTGCTCACTTTCTGCCTCTGTGTCACATTATGGTGATTCTTGCCACAATATTCCCTTAAGCCAAAGCCTAATTCAGAGCAAAGCCGTAACTCTCTTTAATCTATGAAGGCTGAGAGAGGTGAGGAAGCTGCACAAAGTATGAAGCGAGCAGAGAGGTTGGTTCCTGAAGTTTAAAGAAGCCATCTCCATAACATAAAAGTGCAAGGTGAAGC